CAAGTAGACAGACCGATTGGCAGGTGCGTGAGTCATGGCGGAACGTGCAGCGGAGTCAAGAGAGCGTCTGTGACCAGGAACCATCCATATTTTACAAAATTACAACCAGGCTTCTTTGGGAATCGATGGAAGGAGGAAAAGATGAATGATATTTAGAAAAGAACCAATTTCTACGGTATCGATACATTCTGTTGGATGAAAATTAAGTCCTCATAATGAATTCGTCTTTTTCTATCTCGTTTTATATTTTATTCAGTTCTTGATTGTCAGAAAATATACAAATGAGAACCGTGATGGAGCTATTAAGGGTTATGGTTAAATGGTCGATTCTGTGGGACAATTTCATGTCTAAGCTACCTGAAATAATTGTTTTCAGCTTGAGATAGGCAACGGTGGCCACGAGCATAACATTGATGACGCTGAAACTTTCTCTAATATATTGATATATAAAAACCCTGATGGATTATAGCAAGTTTTGTTCCGAGTGAGAAACTTTATGAAAGCAACCACATCGACTCAGATCTGCTGCATCAGAGGCAATGGAATGGTGACCTTCTAAATGGATCATTCACACTTACAAACCATCCTTTACATGAAAGAATCGGACAGTCCCTGAAAGGCAAGTGACGATTTCCCTCTCTCTGTATCTCGCTCCGGTCGCTAGTGCTCATTGTATGAAGAATTTTCATGAAATCAACAGGGGCAACAAAACAAACCAAAAAAAGTGTCATGGAGCCATTGTTCGCTTTTACTTTCAAAGAAATGGAGAGCCACTCAGTTCGCCATGTAGTAAAAACATCGTCCAAATCCTCAGAGCTTGGATTCTCACTCCTCGCACACGACAAACTACAACTTTCATTCCATGAAATGAAATGACGTGAAAATCTGAAATAGTAATTCTTCCTCAAAAGAAGTTTTGAAAATCAGAGAGTTCCATAAATTCATTTCATTTATCATCCTTTGCAAATCAATTCTTGGCAGAGAATAAACAAAAAATCCCTTCAAAATATACGAACCGATCATCTATCTTCAGTGGTGCGACGAGACTCGTGACGTCACAAGACGTCCAAATAAAAACAGGGAGGCGAACTCGGCCTGCGAAAAAGGAGAAAAAAAAAAAGGCAGCCGCGATCTGGCACGGATGTCAGAGTAAAATTAGGCACGCCGAGAGATCCGATGCATAAAATGCAATACTGACGGTGCGGTTATTCCGGCGACCGTAACCGGTCGGTCATGGCAGATGTCAAATTTGGGCACGAAACAAACAAACAAACAGTGAAACCCATTGGATTATATCACATTGGATAAAGGGCCGAAACGGGAGAACGTGGGGGCGCTCTAGAATAATCTCTGTGTCTATACAAAAATACCTCTTTAAAATCTCATTTCAAGCATAAAGCTATGTAACAACAAAAAAAAGTTAGGAGAAAGAAAAAAAATATCCACGGAGAAAGAACAAAAACGATGGAGGTGTGAAAAAACACTGGCAGGGGGGAAGGGGAGAGTAGAAAAGATGATGGGGGTATATATATATATATAAATGTCTACGCACACACGCGAGTGACCAAACACACACACACACGTCTCTCTTTTGTTGTTGTTGTTGGGAGCTCGCTCACCCACCGATATCTTAAACTCGTCAGAAGATTCGCTCGGTCCGGACGACCCGTCTCTTCCGCGACCGGACGGACCCGCTCGCCCGCCTCGGCGGCTCCAGCTTCTGCACTTTGGGCGAGTCTCTGGGGGAATCCTCCGAGGGCTTCGGCTCCGCGACGGACCCGCTCCGTCCCCGCTTCGGCATCCCCAGCTGCTGGTTCGGGAGGTGCGGGCACGGGCTCATGTAATACACCGCCCCTGCCTTCACCTCCAGGATGCGCTTGAGGCACGGCGTGTTCCCCGTCGCGTCCGGGACCGTGCGGGACCTCGCCCGCCCCACCCCCGACTTCTTCAGCCGGTTCCCCACCGGAGACCCCGACCGGGGCCGAAGCTTCTTCCCCGATCGAACGGGGCCGTCCAAATCCGTGGGTGAGGCTCCTAGTCATCTGAGCAGGTTCGTCTTGTTTCGACTGCTCCCCAGTCCCAGGGGACTCCCGATGCGAGAACTGAAACAGGTACGAGCACGTGCGCGTGAGCAAGCGTTTTGCATTGCGGAAGCGTTTCGGATGAATTACAGGTGTTGGGCTGTGGTTCCCTGAAAGGATTTTTCATCTTTCGAGACGTTGTATCTGAATGTACCTCGACCGCGGTTTAACCATTATGGATTCATTTCACCCGTTTAAAAATGTACGGAAGAGAAAAGTGGGGAAATGCTCAGTGGATTTAACACATCTATGGAGCTTCGATGGAAAGCTTTCCCTTTCTGACTCGATGTATTCCGTAGAAATGATTGTGAATTCTTTCCTACGTCATGAATGTTACATTCGAATCTAATTTATAGGGCTTATTTTATATTAAATATTTAGAAAAGGTTCATCAGTAACCTGTAAATGAATTTATCCTAGCGCCACACCGAGATCCCCAGATGGAAAATTTTGCATAGAATCATTTTTCAGTTATCCACATGCTGACCGAGACACCAACGAATAAAAAAAAAAAAGAAGTTACTTTCACGATAATGTAGAATTCCAAAAAGGAGGAGCCAATCTCGAGACATGGCTTTTCCACGTACGAAGAAGATAGCTAGGCCTTCTCGAAATATTCATCGTTTTCAATGAAATCCTAGATTAAAATACTTTGAAGTTATCGTTAATCCTTAGACTACAGAAACGAACAGCAGCGAAGTCATGCGGAACTGCTACACGTTCTACAAGAGGCTACGTGGCACCGAAATACGAGTAAGCTGGCATGCCGTCATCAGCATATGCCACGAGCAGAAGCAAGTGCTTGCATCCCGCACTCGCACCAACTTAAGCTATGCCTACATCAAAGTGGTAGAGGAGGCAAAAACCCCACCGTCTGTGACTCGAAATCTGGAACGTGATTCGGATCGGGTGTTGTTGGAAAAGTGCAGTGAGAAGACACTGTGACCAGGGACTGTTTCTTACGGCTAGGGTTTTTTTTTTCCCCCAGTTACTCCTCAGCTGTCGCCTTTTATCATCATCAAAGTATACCTCACCAATGGACAGAACCACATTGCCAGTATAATGCACGGAGACTGGGTGTTGACTAGAGAATGTCATGTCTACTTTCCTTCTACTTTTGTACTACAGAGAATTCACTTCCTCGATACATGTTTGGGTTTCAGCAAACAGACATGTTGCTTCAAGGAGTAGGTGAGAATGATGTTTTCCTTGGGGAAACTCCATGTTTCATATGAGGCTCACTTAAATTCACATGGAAAATGTACAGAGCCGAAGTACATAATTCTTGTGCAAAAGTTGGATTACAGGGCCTTCACAGCTCTTTGACAGTTCACCTAAGCTCAAATTACATTGGGTATATTATTATTAATCTCTCCAAAGCGGAACGTGTAACGACTCGCCATCTTTCTAAGGTCTACCTATTTTCAACCTCCACATACGCAAAAAAAAAATTCCTGTCTACTCACAGTCACTCTGATGATGCCAGCCTATTCCTCAATTGAAACGTCTAGGAATCCCTAGAAGGATTATCCCAAGGGAATCTGTGCAGCTACAGTGATTCTTGATGCTTTTATACCTCCCATCTTCGAAATTATTTTTAAAATTCCACGCACTGTTTCTTCACGCTGAGAAACTGAGAAACATACTGTAAGAAGAACCTTTGCATTGCATCCACGTTTGGGCAAGGGCCTGCCAACTTCTGAAGAAACCAGAGGATCAAGAGACTGTTTTCATTATACGTGGATTTTTCTAAAAATTTTCAGCTAACCCATTGCTAATGAAAATGCTACTCTCAGAAGCTACTGCTCTCCCTATGACGAGTGTTCCACACCTAGATCTAATGCAAGGATGACTAACGATTTGATCTTCATATTTCTACACGGCTGCAATGGTGATTGCATTCTGCTACCAGATCGTTTGTGCTTAATTCTATCAACCCGATCGGACATCAAATGATGCAATCACTTGTACAGGGAAAACTAATCAATTTTTTTCCACGTATCAGTTAAATTGAAATTGAAGGATTCGTGTCCATGAAATCTATGTGACCAAATCCATTTTCTCATATCGCATCAACACCAAAATTTGAAGATGATTCAGACAGAAGCCCAAACTTGATTAACACGCTGGAAGTCACATACTCATGAAAATCCTGCACCAATGCACCCGCCCATTAAATAGATAAAACTGTGGAACACCAATGCAAACTTCGGAGTTCTATCCATTCGGCTACAATGAAACAATTGTCAGTCCAGAAGTATGTTTAGCACTGACTACTCTCCAGTGGTCACTGCATAATCCCTGATGAGAATGACAGATGAAAGGAATTATCTCAGACAAGTCGTACAAGCCTGCATCATTCGCAGTCTGTGCACAGCAGTCGCAAGCAGGATAGGGCCATAAGCCAATACAAGCAGACAGGAAAGTATAAGGAAAAAAAGCAGCAGCTCCTTTTGTTCATTTTCTCTCTTTTCATCTGCCAGGCTCAGTGAACTCGTCATTTACACACTCACAACCTTCATTCTGGTGCTTCCTCAGATTCCCGACTTTAATGAAAAGATAGAGAAAATGCCACTGGCTATCGAAGATGAAACAGATGCACCCAGACTTCCCCAATTAGAGTAAAGTTCCAGATTTCTCATCACTGAGGCTGATTTTTCCCTCAAGCAGACAGACCGATTGGCAGGTGCGTGAGTCATGGCGGAACGTGCAGCGGAGTCAAGAGAGCGTCTGTGACCAGGAACGGGAGAAGCCTGACCCGAACTCGGGTTTTTCCTCTGACTTTCTAGCGACGTGGGGGACCAGCAGGCACCGGCTCTCCTGTCAACCGACACGCTCACGTGTTAGTGAGTTAAGCCGAAGAAAAAGCCGCACGTGCATCTTCGAGCATGCAAGACGCAGCAGGCAGAGGCACGGGCTTCACCTTTTCGCCGTGCTTCCCTGCGCGACGCCTGTCTTGGACGCCCTCTTCGCTGTCGTGTGATTGACGGCGTGGGAGTTGAGCCTGTTGGGCCTCACCGGGGACAAGACCGGCTGGCCGGCGAGCACGAGGGAGTCTTTGGCCGTGCGGGACCGGCTCTTCGCCGGGGGTACCCCTCCCCCTCCCACCTCCCGGGGTCTACGAAACATTTAAATTACAGCTACTCTGTACAGAGAGAGACATAGAGGTACCAAAAACCTTCACCGTATCAAAATTACTCTTCCTGTTTTTTCCATCCATATTTTACAAAATTATTTTCCATGCTTCTTTGTCATTCGATAGAAGGAGGAAACGATGAATGGTATTCACAGAAGAATCAATATCTACGTTACTGATACACTGCAGGATGAAAAATCAAGTCATTATAATCAATTTCTCGTTTCCTGTTTCATCTCAATCTATAATTCTATCCGGAAAATAAAACATGCAACAAAAAAAGATAAGTGATGGAGTTAATGGTTATGGTTAAATGGTCGATTCTGAGGGGACTGCTTCACGTCTCAACTACTAGGAATAATAATTTTCGCTTATTGGATATCGGTGGCCGCGAGCACAGACTTGATAACGCTGTTGCTTATGAACTCAAGATTTGCTCCGAAAGAAAAATTCTACAAAAGAGACCACATGGACTCAGATCTTTTGCATGACAGGCAATGGAGTGGTGATGTTCTTTTAAGCGTTTTCTTGGCATTTCTATCACGGGAACAATACGCACCTCCCAAAGAATCAACCATGAGTAAACGAGACGAAATCATTCCCAAATTCACATCACAGTAGGCACATACTCTGCCACTATAGATAGCACCTGAAAATCGTAAAATCACAGCAACTTTGTAATCAACCTTTAAACATTCCGAAGCCACGACTCACTTGATTATTTTCCCAGCAGTGTTGGCATGATAATGCTTCCTTTGCGCCTTGAGTTTCAAGAGCTTATCGCCCTGCGTCTCCTCCTCTCCCCTCAGGTTCCCATTCGCCGTGTCCTATCGATTGCATCAGTCCAATAGATAAGGCGATGAGAAAGCCGGATCGGTATGCCTGGCACGCGTGAAAACGCACCTCGATGACGGGCGACTTGAGCCCGGCGAGCGAGCGGACGTTCCCGGACGACGACGCGAGGGCCAGGTCCTGGATGCACATGCTGTCCACCTGATCCAGGATGTGCGACACGTCGTCCAGCCCCCCGTGCACGAACGGGGACACGAACGGGAGGTCGTTCCCCTGCCCCTTCCGCTCCCGGTGGTAGATCCCTCGCTTGTGGAGCTGGGTCACGTTGTTGTTTTGGCGGTTCCGGGTCCGGAAGATGTCTCCTTGCAGCCAGAGATAAGTCTGCTTCCTGGAATGGAAACGGCACTCGACTGCACATGGCACTGGTGCAAACAACACACAGAACACCCATTAATAATAATAAAAATATCGACTTGGACTTTCCCGTCAAATGATTAATCCCACTGTTACCAGGGGTCACTTTCACGTGTTCATAAAGAATTTTCAGCAATACAGCATAACCAACATTCACCAAATTCTGCTGCTTCTTAGAATAGCTGGAAAACCATCCTGCTCCTGTTCAATTCAATTCTTTCATTTAAAGAAAACTGACATTCCAAATGGTTTCATGCAAACACATGGAAAAAAAATACGATGACCAGTGGTTTTGGGCAGCTCTTCACTTCCAAAAGAATTTCGCTTTTAAGAAAAATATTTTTTTTTAATACTCATGAGTCATCATAATTCTTCCCCTCTGTTAAAAAAAAATTGTTATGGGTAAAACATGGCTAATCTGGAATGAAGCACTTCCAGCCAGCATGTCCATCGAGGGGTACGATCTCGCAACCAAGTACCTTCGGGCACCCGCAAGAAGTGCGTCCGTGCTCCACTAGCAAACCCACCCTCGGAACAGAACCCCCCGAAGCAAGTCGACTCCAAAAGAGAACTCACGACTCCAGCCAGTGCTGCTGCTGCCCGATGATGGACCCGGGCCGACAGATCCTGATCCAAGCGATCGCCTCAGCCGCCGTGANACAGATGAAAGGAATTATCTCAGACAAGTCGTACAAGCCTGCATCATTCGCAGTCTGTGCACAGCAGTCGCAAGCAGGATAGGGCCATAAGCCAATACAAGCAGACAGGAAAGTATAAGGAAAAAAAGCAGCAGCTCCTTTTGTTCATTTTCTCTCTTTTCATCTGCCAGGCTCAGTGAACTCGTCATTTACACACTCACAACCTTCATTCTGGTGCTTCCTCAGATTCCCGACTTTAATGAAAAGATAGAGAAAATGCCACTGGCTATCGAAGATGAAACAGATGCACCCAGACTTCCCCAATTAGAGTAAAGTTCCAGATTTCTCATCACTGAGGCTGATTTTTCCCTCAAGCAGACAGACCGATTGGCAGGTGCGTGAGTCATGGCGGAACGTGCAGCGGAGTCAAGAGAGCGTCTGTGACCAGGAACGGGAGAAGCCTGACCCGAACTCGGGTTTTTCCTCTGACTTTCTAGCGACGTGGGGGACCAGCAGGCACCGGCTCTCCTGTCAACCGACACGCTCACGTGTTAGTGAGTTAAGCCGAAGAAAAAGCCGCACGTGCATCTTCGAGCATGCAAGACGCAGCAGGCAGAGGCACGGGCTTCACCTTTTCGCCGTGCTTCCCTGCGCGACGCCTGTCTTGGACGCCCTCTTCGCTGTCGTGTGATTGACGGCGTGGGAGTTGAGCCTGTTGGGCCTCACCGGGGACAAGACCGGCTGGCCGGCGAGCACGAGGGAGTCTTTGGCCGTGCGGGACCGGCTCTTCGCCGGGGGTACCCCTCCCCCTCCCACCTCCCGGGGTCTACGAAACATTTAAATTACAGCTACTCTGTACAGAGAGAGACATAGAGGTACCAAAAACCTTCACCGTATCAAAATTACTCTTCCTGTTTTTTCCATCCATATTTTACAAAATTATTTTCCATGCTTCTTTGTCATTCGATAGAAGGAGGAAACGATGAATGGTATTCACAGAAGAATCAATATCTACGTTACTGATACACTGCAGGATGAAAAATCAAGTCATTATAATCAATTTCTCGTTTCCTGTTTCATCTCAATCTATAATTCTATCCGGAAAATAAAACATGCAACAAAAAAAGATAAGTGATGGAGTTAATGGTTATGGTTAAATGGTCGATTCTGAGGGGACTGCTTCACGTCTCAACTACTAGGAATAATAATTTTCGCTTATTGGATATCGGTGGCCGCGAGCACAGACTTGATAACGCTGTTGCTTATGAACTCAAGATTTGCTCCGAAAGAAAAATTCTACAAAAGAGACCACATGGACTCAGATCTTTTGCATGACAGGCAATGGAGTGGTGATGTTCTTTTAAGCGTTTTCTTGGCATTTCTATCACGGGAACAATACGCACCTCCCAAAGAATCAACCATGAGTAAACGAGACGAAATCATTCCCAAATTCACATCACAGTAGGCACATACTCTGCCACTATAGATAGCACCTGAAAATCGTAAAATCACAGCAACTTTGTAATCAACCTTTAAACATTCCGAAGCCACGACTCACTTGATTATTTTCCCAGCAGTGTTGGCATGATAATGCTTCCTTTGCGCCTTGAGTTTCAAGAGCTTATCGCCCTGCGTCTCCTCCTCTCCCCTCAGGTTCCCATTCGCCGTGTCCTATCGATTGCATCAGTCCAATAGATAAGGCGATGAGAAAGCCGGATCGGTATGCCTGGCACGCGTGAAAACGCACCTCGATGACGGGCGACTTGAGCCCGGCGAGCGAGCGGACGTTCCCGGACGACGACGCGAGGGCCAGGTCCTGGATGCACATGCTGTCCACCTGATCCAGGATGTGCGACACGTCGTCCAGCCCCCCGTGCACGAACGGGGACACGAACGGGAGNTCCCGACTTTAATGAAAAGATAGAGAAAATGCCACTGGCTATCGAAGATGAAACAGATGCACCCAGACTTCCCCAATTAGAGTAAAGTTCCAGATTTCTCATCACTGAGGCTGATTTTTCCCTCAAGCAGACAGACCGATTGGCAGGTGCGTGAGTCATGGCGGAACGTGCAGCGGAGTCAAGAGAGCGTCTGTGACCAGGAACGGGAGAAGCCTGACCCGAACTCGGGTTTTTCCTCTGACTTTCTAGCGACGTGGGGGACCAGCAGGCACCGGCTCTCCTGTCAACCGACACGCTCACGTGTTAGTGAGTTAAGCCGAAGAAAAAGCCGCACGTGCATCTTCGAGCATGCAAGACGCAGCAGGCAGAGGCACGGGCTTCACCTTTTCGCCGTGCTTCCCTGCGCGACGCCTGTCTTGGACGCCCTCTTCGCTGTCGTGTGATTGACGGCGTGGGAGTTGAGCCTGTTGGGCCTCACCGGGGACAAGACCGGCTGGCCGGCGAGCACGAGGGAGTCTTTGGCCGTGCGGGACCGGCTCTTCGCCGGGGGTACCCCTCCCCCTCCCACCTCCCGGGGTCTACGAAACATTTAAATTACAGCTACTCTGTACAGAGAGAGACATAGAGGTACCAAAAACCTTCACCGTATCAAAATTACTCTTCCTGTTTTTTCCATCCATATTTTACAAAATTATTTTCCATGCTTCTTTGTCATTCGATAGAAGGAGGAAACGATGAATGGTATTCACAGAAGAATCAATATCTACGTTACTGATACACTGCAGGATGAAAAATCAAGTCATTATAATCAATTTCTCGTTTCCTGTTTCATCTCAATCTATAATTCTATCCGGAAAATAAAACATGCAACAAAAAAAGATAAGTGATGGAGTTAATGGTTATGGTTAAATGGTCGATTCTGAGGGGACTGCTTCACGTCTCAACTACTAGGAATAATAATTTTCGCTTATTGGATATCGGTGGCCGCGAGCACAGACTTGATAACGCTGTTGCTTATGAACTCAAGATTTGCTCCGAAAGAAAAATTCTACAAAAGAGACCACATGGACTCAGATCTTTTGCATGACAGGCAATGGAGTGGTGATGTTCTTTTAAGCGTTTTCTTGGCATTTCTATCACGGGAACAATACGCACCTCCCAAAGAATCAACCATGAGTAAACGAGACGAAATCATTCCCAAATTCACATCACAGTAGGCACATACTCTGCCACTATAGATAGCACCTGAAAATCGTAAAATCACAGCAACTTTGTAATCAACCTTTAAACATTCCGAAGCCACGACTCACTTGATTATTTTCCCAGCAGTGTTGGCATGATAATGCTTCCTTTGCGCCTTGAGTTTCAAGAGCTTATCGCCCTGCGTCTCCTCCTCTCCCCTCAGGTTCCCATTCGCCGTGTCCTATCGATTGCATCAGTCCAATAGATAAGGCGATGAGAAAGCCGGATCGGTATGCCTGGCACGCGTGAAAACGCACCTCGATGACGGGCGACTTGAGCCCGGCGAGCGAGCGGACGTTCCCGGACGACGACGCGAGGGCCAGGTCCTGGATGCACATGCTGTCCACCTGATCCAGGATGTGCGACACGTCGTCCAGCCCCCCGTGCACGAACGGGGACACGAACGGGAGGTCGTTCCCCTGCCCCTTCCGCTCCCGGTGGTAGATCCCTCGCTTGTGGAGCTGGGTCACGTTGTTGTTTTGGCGGTTCCGGGTCCGGAAGATGTCTCCTTGCAGCCAGAGATAAGTCTGCTTCCTGGAATGGAAACGGCACTCGACTGCACATGGCACTGGTGCAAACAACACACAGAACACCCATTAATAATAATAAAAATATCGACTTGGACTTTCCCGTCAAATGATTAATCCCACTGTTACCAGGGGTCACTTTCACGTGTTCATAAAGAATTTTCAGCAATACAGCATAACCAACATTCACCAAATTCTGCTGCTTCTTAGAATAGCTGGAAAACCATCCTGCTCCTGTTCAATTCAATTCTTTCATTTAAAGAAAACTGACATTCCAAATGGTTTCATGCAAACACATGGAAAAAAAATACGATGACCAGTGGTTTTGGGCAGCTCTTCACTTCCAAAAGAATTTCGCTTTTAAGAAAAATATTTTTTTTTAATACTCATGAGTCATCATAATTCTTCCCCTCTGTTAAAAAAAAATTGTTATGGGTAAAACATGGCTAATCTGGAATGAAGCACTTCCAGCCAGCATGTCCATCGAGGGGTACGATCTCGCAACCAAGTACCTTCGGGCACCCGCAAGAAGTGCGTCCGTGCTCCACTAGCAAACCCACCCTCGGAACAGAACCCCCCGAAGCAAGTCGACTCCAAAAGAGAACTCACGACTCCAGCCAGTGCTGCTGCTGCCCGATGATGGACCCGGGCCGACAGATCCTGATCCAAGCGATCGCCTCAGCCGCCGTGAACTTGTAGTGTTTCATCATGTAGCAAGCAATCAGCGACCCCGTCCTCCCCAACCCAGCTGCACAACAACCCACCCCGAATAAAGAACTCCATAAGAACCCCTTCCCCCCCCCCACCCCCAAACCCAAAGCCCACCTTTGCAGTGAACGGCCACACCCCCCGGCGTGGACTCGGAAATCTCCAGGAACTCCCTCATGATCGCATCGCTCGGCACCCCCCCGTCCGTGAAGAACAGATCCCGATGGTCGAACCCCGCCTTCGCGAACCGCCCCGCGTCGTACAGCTTCTTGTTCAGCCTCACGATCGTCGTGACCCGGTGCTTCGCGAAGTACGCGAAGTACGCCTCCGGCGCGTGGTACGGGTACCCGTTCTCCGTCTTGCTCGCCGCGTGTGGCCCGCAAAACGCGATGAACTTCTCCGGAACGATCCAGTTCAAGTCCCCGTTCTCCACTTTCTAAATCAAAAAACCCAACAAATAAAAATAAAAATAAAGAATTCCCAAAAAACCTCTCAAAACAACCCCCCCCCCACCAGCCATTCCTCGCCGTCACCACCAATATCACCGCCACGTGACAGATTAAAATCACCCGGATCCCGAACATACAAACGGAATATCAACAAAGCACTCCACATAAAACAAAAGGATGGCAGAGATACAGAAGCCAAATGCAAGGGCTCTTAAGGCTTAATCACGCATGGCAAAACAAAAAAGTGCATCCGCCTCTGATGACGGC